GTAGAATCACTGCGCTCGGCATGGGCCACTGAGATAGAAAATTGGATGAGACAAGGTACCTGTCTAGTTTACTGTGTTTCGCCCCGTCAGCGCTCATCCTAGTAAATTTCCTTCCACCGCTCCTAACTTCAATAAGCCCCGAGTCCCGGATAAAATCGTTGAATCTGCTAGCACCCAGAAACAAGAACGAGGATCCTTTTCTTTCGTTGGCGGAATGAACTTCGTTAAAATCGCCCATGATAACTCACATCGTATCCGAGTTATCAATCAAAAATTGCTCAATGGCAGACCATAGCCTGAGTTTGGAGACCGAAGATTACGACGCGTAAACATTGATGAAACCGCATGGGATGCTATTCGACACCCATCTTCCCCAGACAGCAACGAAACCATCAAGGATAGCGAATTCATCCTTATTGAAAAAAGACGTATCCCAGATGGATAAACTACTCCCAGACATCCCTCTAGATTTCGACGAAATAAAATCAAAGGAACCTTTACCCTCCACTAACTCCTTCTCATGCTACTGTTTCTGTGCCTTCTCCTGTTCCCACTAAGGAGGAGAAGACAGTAGACCCTACCAACAGTGAAAACGGGGATGACTCAACATCTGCCTCTTCTTCCTCATCTGATGTTGAGTTTGATGCTCCTATTGAGAGGGAGTTGTTTGGTCATGATAGAATTGCAGTACCTGTTGAGGGGGAGCAACCGAGCTCTATGCCTTCAGTATCTGTTGAGGTTGGTACTCTCCTTTCTCAAGATGATATTCCTACTATTTCAATGGACATAGTCCCAACTCATAGAGAAGGAAAGACACCTATGACATTCGATTAAGAAGCTACTGCAACTAAAGCAGCTAAAGTTGCAAGAAATCAATCTGAAGCTTCTGCAAAAGACAAACTTGTGCTTAAAGCCCCAGGTCCTCTTGAAACCGATCTTCATCTGCTAGGCATTTCAGTTGAGGACGCGGCTGACTCAATTGCTCTTCAGAAGCAATTTGAGGAAGCCAACAGATCTCACTCTTTGGTCACACGATCAGAATCTGAAGAAACCAAAGAGAAAAAGATTAAATGGTTCAATGACTCAATTCTTTGACGATATATTGCTACTCGAATTGTCAGTGCCAGAATCAAAGGTCCTAAAAAATTGACCTATGATTCCAATCTGATTTATTTGATTATTGGTCGGTCAAACAGAGTAGTGAGAACTGAAAAACTATCTTGGATCAATGCCTATAGCCTATCTGAATGGATGAAGATTATTAAGTTTATTAAAAAGAGTAGAAACATGTACAGAGAATTTGTCTTGGGTGACTTGTATCGCCTTCTGAAAAAGATACAAATGATCAAGATGCACTACAAGCTGTCTTCCTCTCCACAACTCTCCTCTCTCAAGCAAATGTTGAATAAAGGTGGCTTTTCTAACTCTGCTTCTGCCTCTCAGTTCATCAAGAAACAAGACTCTCTGATTCAGAAATTATCGAACGAAGGTAAGGCCTCTAATGTCTCACTTCTTGATCTTACCCTTTCTACAAATGATTGTCATCCAGATGGAACTATCTTGTCCACTCCTGAGCATGAAATATTCTTCTGGGACGCGAGTAGTTGCTTTTGATTTTTCCGAGCTTCTGAGATACCTATAGCTGATTCTCAGCTTCTACGCGTGATACTCGGTATAATCAAAATTGGTGAAGCCGAAGAGTCTTCTATACGCTGATCTCGGATGAACTAAAGAAAAGAGATGTTCTTGCAGTCGATAATACAGATGTTATGGAAGTAGATGATGACTGGTAGCTTTTCTATGTGACTTTTTCTTCTTAAACTACTTTCTTCATTGTAAGTATTTAAATTCGTTGTCTAATTTAAAAGCATTTGATATTTCAGTATTTACTTCAAGTTTTTTTATTCTTTATTTGTTTATTTCTGATTCATTATTTGTTTTGTATATACGTTTACAGTTTAAAAAAAATAAAAAAATAAAAAAAGAAAAGAACGCAAAAAGAATATGTACATGGGTCACAGAATTTATAAGTTCTTCCTCTCAAAAGAAATTTAGAGTTTGTATCTCTAGTATTTATTTTTTTTCTAAGTATTTATGTCATCAAATAGGGGAAGGTTGTTGGGTGACCTATTTATTTGGTGATGACCCATCGATCTGTTCTTCTACCTTAGCAACACTTAGTAGTTATTGGTTTCTTGGTACATACTTAAGCCATTGGCAAAATCGAAGACTAGCCGATGTGTAAACAGAAGGTCACCGAGGCGGTGTTGTGGATCACTTGTCTAATATACACACCAAGACTTCTGAGTAGCTGAAATGAAGATTGAAAATATTTTGAAGCTACAAACCGATTGATTGAAGATCTTCATGGACTAAAGATTGAAGATTTTCATGGACCCAAGATTGAAGATCTTCATGGACCGAAGATTGATGAGTAGCTGTTTGTAATCCATCCAAAGATCTTTGTACAGACTGACCATATCTCTGCAAAAGTTTGTATATGCATTAACAGTGTTGTATGCACGCTGTGTATGATGAAAATGAGATATCAACAATGGTCAAGCCAACCTCTGCCTTCTTATCCTCAGGTGACAAGTGTCCCAATGCATTTAATGCTGAAGATTGTATAAAAGGTAGTGTGCATCTCCCATGCATACTACTGGCTTTTTGAAAGATTATTAAATGCATTCTTAAGGCAATCGACTATTCTTTTTTATTCCCTTGCTATCCTGTGTGTAATTGTATTAAACCCCCCCCCCCTTCTACAATTACTTGTCTATTTATTATCATCCCTTTCGGAACCAGCAGTTTCAAATGCACCTCATCATATTTACACAACCTAATCAATTGAAATATTTATGGAAATAATGAGAGTTCATTTATTATGATTTGAATATTTATAAAAGATAACTAGGGTTCATTAATTATAATTAATACTTTACATTAGAAAATAATTAAAACTTTTATAAAATCATATATATTCATCAAATTAAACCCACGTCTCTCTCTCTCTCTCTCTATATATATATATATATATATATATGTGTGTGTGTGTGTGTACGCGTGCATGTATATATGTATGTGTGTGTTTATACGGGTGAGTTTATTTGTTAACACAAATATATGATGTTAACTTTGTAAATCAATCTTATCAATTGATCTTGAAATTTGTGGCTAAGATCATTTATGACATAAAATGTAAATAACTACACACATATACAAGATAACATAAGTAAACAATGTTAACAGGAGGTATTTTGGGAAAAGATTTTAACTACCCATTAATGAAATTGGTAATTACTCTCGTCATTGAATCGAAACCGACAACAAGACCCCTAACACCATATTCTTCTACAACTTTTTTTAGTTCATGGTTCATGTGTGAACAAGTATTCAATATTTATGGGAATTGTTCATGTGTGAACAAGTGTTCATGGTTCATAAACACATGCCTAAATTTATTATATGAACAGAATAACACATTATGCAGATTCAATATGAATAATTTTTTACAAATATTGAACCTATTGTAAACGAATATTCTAATCACATCTCCATATATGTGAACACGTACTATGCAGACATAGTTCTCCACATTTATGAATACATATTATGCCCACATAGTTGATATATCAATAATTATCCTAATTATATTTTAGAGTTTTTATATTTAAAATAAGATGTTTATCTTGTATTTGATTATGTTTATCTACAGTTAGTTACACGAATTTAAAAATAGAGCTTTAATAAATTGTACTTATGTAAAATTTACTTGTAATTTTGAATTTTAAATAATATGCACTTCATGCATAAAAAATGGTTTTTAAGAGTTTTCATCAGATGCTTTATAATATAGTATAGATAACCTTAAATGGGATTTTAATTAAATCTATGACCTAATTAATATGATCTTTTAATAGGCTAGGAAGGTCATAGATTTTATTAAAATCTCAATTTTAAAAACATTCTGCCACATACCAAAAGGTTATGAATTTAATTAATTCTCATTTAGAATTATCTACCACTTGGTTTAAAAAAAAGCGCATAATGCGCTGTGATGTGCGATGCGCTGTGATGCGCTGAAGAAAACGCATCAAAGGGTCTGATGCGTTGCGATTCCATGATGCGCTCGCATCACCTACGCATCACACGATGCGTGCATCACTTATGCATCAACGCATCATGTATGCTGCATTTTTGGGCTCCCTTTTGCAGTTTTTAGTTGGGCTTTTTAGTTGAACTTCTTAGTTAAGTAAAATAGAACGTGAGACTGTGAGAGACCTAATAGAAGAAGCCGACATCGAAGAAGTAGAAGTCGCACTGTGAGAGACCTAGCATCACATATCAATTAAAACGTGGCGTGAGTTGTTGTCGATACTCGACAACCAGCAAAGAAGTAGAAAACGAACTTCTTAAGATTCTAATGCCACTTTTTTAACTACTTTATGTTATAAATGAAGTATTTTGATAGGTAAGTATTTTTACGGTAGAAATTGATACGTAGAATTAATTTATGAATATTTTGTGAATATCGGGCGCATCACGTGCGTGATGCGAGCGCATAAGCATCACGCATCGGCTTCTGGGACCCTTAATGCATCGGACCGCATCGCGCTTTTTAAAACCAAGATCTACCAATATAATGGAATCACACACTCGGTGGATCGATCTTATAAAACATTTATCTATCTAACAATCCTAAACATTACGATATACCAAAGCCTTGAACAGTGATCAAATAAGAAAACATTCACATATGAATTCTCACTAAACTCGCATGTAAAAACACGTGATTATGCACGACCTAAGTAATCGCATGTGATTAGGCTATTCTACCATTCTCTTATTTTAACCATGATCTCATCTAATCCTCCCTCGTAAGACTTGTTTAATATAAGACAACAAATATATGGTGATCTTTAGTGGTTATGCATACATTGCTTCAAAATGTGATAGACCCTCTAATTAATTGGCTAGGCTAGTAATTAACCCCTCATTAAATGGTTTATGTAATTTTTGGATTCAAAAACTGCTAGTGTGGTTCGATACAGATGGTGTCGCTGTTATCAGCTCAAAACTCAATGCTTAGCTTATGAGTTATCAATTAATCAAACACTGGAATTTTGACACCATAAAACACTACTATAAACAACTATCACTAGCATTGCTACCAGAAAATTAAATATGAACGAACCTGATGTAGCAACTCTACAAAAACCATGCACATGTGAAATCTGGTTGGCCGTTCTGCACACATCCTCGTTTGGAACTTGAGTCTCAACGAAATGGTGGACCATGCATGGATGAATTTCCTGTAGGGAAAAAAAGTTACAAGACTACCACCACCAGTTAAACCAAACAAACCGTGTCTTCGAGTCAAAGAAACCCCGCATATGACCCGTGTAGAAACGAGGAGTCCTCGTGGACAAACATCATCTTTGTGAAGGAAACTTTAAGTCATTGTATCTACTTTCAAATTTGATGGGTAAGAGTCATGATTGTGTTTTAATTTAGAAAAAAAAATAAAAAATAGAATAATAATAGAACTAAGGGGCTTTTTACCAAATGCTTATCGGGTAAGTGCTCACCAGGTGTCACTTACATTACCAAGTGAGCAATGCAAGAACTTAGAATCTTACTGGATAAGTGAAAGAGAAGACTCTTACCCGGTTTTGCCTATCAAAAAATATTTGGATTCTTTACTAAAAGCATGAGCTATAACCTGCAAGCATTACCAAACCATACAAGCCCATTATAACCCACCCATAGGTGGGTTCTAGGAGGGTGGGAAGTATGCAGCGTTGTCCTCTACCCAGAGAGTGTCAAAGAGTAGAGTGGCTGTTTCGAATCCGACAATCAGCCATCATTGAATACTAAAATTAGTGCTTATGCAGTTTTGGTTTTATTAACTCGGTGTTGCATAATAATTACCAGCTGGAGGGTGTAGAAGTGTTCTTCCCCAAGGGTCCTTTGCAGGCTGCATCTCTTGTGACCTTTTACGCGGGTTGTGCATGGAAGCAGCTCCATGGGTCCCACCCCAGCCAACAGTAGATGCACCTCCCCAGCCTTGACTCCACCCAGGTCCTCCATAAGCTGATCCCCAACCTTGGGTTCTTTGCACACCCTCTGCAGCCCTCATTCTTTTGGTTGACTGATGGTCAAACGGCTGCTCCACCCATGAAGTATCCGGGCCTGTAGTCATGGATCGACGTTGTGTTCCATCCCAGTAGCCCAACGAAGGTGGCCTTGTTGCCCAACCTTGAGTAGCTCTTGGTTCCAACACACGGTTAGGAGCCATAACGTGCCGATTTGTTCCCAAGTTTTCTCTGCGTTTCAAGATCGTTACTGGCTGTACATTTGGCTTTGCATGAACAGGATGATGGAGAGTTTTATCAATGCCAAACAACGCTCTTTTTAACTCTGATTCTTGGATTTCACCACTCATGAAGGAAGCAAGATTACGAATGGTAAGGTGTATGCACTTGTAGATTTCTTCGACTTCCGATTTCCCTACAGCCCTGGCGACATTTTGGGTTCGGTCTGTGAAATCCTCAACCTGTAGAGTTGTAGCGGAATCATAAGCGGCCACTTTAAGATCCTTGATAAAATTTAAATCAAAAAATGTAAATAAAGTAAATACTTCAGCAACATGACATGTTACAATGGTTGTACTTACACTCATGCTGGCTATTTTAGTATCCCATGTTTTAGATGTCCAATGTGCTTGATATGGACTCGCACAAAGACCTTTGGGCCAAAGCTTTTCGACAGATGCTAGCTGCAACCAATTAAAGTATGAAACTACAATATTTAAGCATGTAAAATAACAAGTTTTTTGGTCAAATGACCTGATAGTTTTTTTTTTTAAATCCACGACCTTCCAGGTTTCCACAAGTTTTAAGAATGCCGCTGCTTAATTGGAAAAATGTCTTTTCCTTACGCAAGAATGACTAGAAACTTGTCAGAAGGTCAAGGATTTAAAAAATAATGGTTAAAAGGTCATTCAACTAATAAAACAAGACGCTTGCTGTAAAAAGTAGTGGATGTTGGTTGCCAACAAGGTTATTCAACGATATTACCTGGATTAAAAATGATACGAACAGTTCACCTAATGATTCTGTATTTCTTACACCGTAGTTCTGGAAGTTTCTAACTGATTTCTTCACAGAAGCAAGATCCTCGCCATCTACAAAATTCTCATGCCAAAATAAAGGCTAAAGAGCATGAGTACCTCAATAAAGAAAACTGATTTACTCTTAATAATGTGTACAAGGAGATGGAAAAAGACATGCAAAGATTCAAAAATGTATTACTTTGTTCCATCTGTGATATATACAAGAATTTCCTTTCGGAAATGTCTCAAAATAAATACATCTCTTTTTCAGGAAAAGTTCTAAAACCCGAAATTACTTCTATACCCATTAATAGTCACTACATACAAAATATCAGTATCATTGGCTTTGATCCAATAGAATCCACAATATTGTCACCAATGAGAGGTATTACAAATATTTGACCAATAATCAATATTTTAGGATGGAAGGAATACCCCTTATAGACCATATAATCCGTTAAAAAGAAAAATTCATAAGCATTTCACATTTTGACAAATTTTCAAACAATGGTTGCGATTCTTTCCATGGTTGCCGATACAAATTGTTAATGATATAGGTTACTTTACATCTTATTTTATATTTAATAAATTATTAGACTTATTAGTAGAAAAAATAAAATAAAATAAACAGAATAAGACTAAAATACAACTCATTAGAAATTAACATCCGTTAAAGAGCCCGCTAAATCTTCTATTGTATTATCATTATGAACACTAAATCATTTGACTAAAAGTTTGCAAAATTTACACAATGGAATGCGCATGTTAAAACAATGTATGCATGACCAATAAAAATTACCACATTTATTCAGTTTTGCATACACAAATTTCATATTATTCAATCAGTTCTAGTACTTAACTATAGTCTTGCCGTTACCTTTTAGAATGGCAGAAAATGGAGGTAAAATGGGAGGCTCACGAGTCTGCAACCAAAGCACGGTAATAAGGCAGTATTGCATAATTATAGAATAAAATAAATAACAAACAAAAAGATGATAGCAATGGGCCAAGGCTTCTTGGTTTCAAAAGAACAATTCCAGCACAATTTTGATCAGCCGTTTGTGAAAGAGTTCATATTCAACTTTTGCATGTCAAATGAGATTATAAACGCTAACATTATTATTAAAAAATTACACTATTAACAAAATTGCACAAATTTGGCGTACAATACCCGAATGCCAAATGGTGCCTTTAAACATGCATTATGGATGGAGCCTGGAGAGACAACTTTTTGTACTTTAAGACATGCACAAATTGTGTGTGGTAAGTAGTAACTACTAATAAGTTCTTTTCTTGTAATAAGAATCGGTTGAGCAAAAATAAAAAAATACAATCACCTATAAAAGTTTATCAAGAGTTGAGAGGATAAAAAATAGTAATTCTCTTTCTTTTTCTGTACCATACCTGCAGATGAAATGCAACCAATAATATTATCGATAAAGAGTTCAATGTTCGATCTTTTGAGCTATTAATGTTATGTGCTTTTGCCCAGGCTTTCATCTGCATAGATAAATATAATTCAAAGATATATAAGAATATAGACACACAACAAATGAAGCCGTATTGCAAAATAAAATATTTTAAGCAAACATAAGTATGCCCTATACATTTATGAATTATTGCATTCGTATTAGCCAGTTTTCTTGCATTTTCTGCTCTCATGCTCATTTACCCTATGATCATGGAAAAAGACAAAAATAAAATAAAAAAGGAGAACGAAATAAAATGAATGGAATAGACTTATCGAGTGTCTATCCTTGTTAAACCATCCTAATTAGAAACCAAGTGTCGGTTTCTTTGAATCAGAGTTTTTCCCAAGTCCCAATACCAACCTTCACGAATCACTATTTTCAACTTTTTAGAACACCTATCGGAAAACCAAAAAAAGCATGCAATAATCATGATGATCTAAGTTATGATAAGGAATGCAAGTCCAAATTGCCAAAGCGCAAAATCAGGATGAACCAACCCATATTGATCAGCCCCGCTTGGTTTTTCTAGGATAGCACAGTTATTTATGATTAACAATCTTGTATTTTTTAACAATTTCATTGCTAAACTAAACCAATGTTATTTATGATCAACAGCAGTCCTGTTTTATATATACCAAAAAAGGAAACCATAACTTTTTGTAATACCATTTCATCATTATCTTGTATTAAAATCTTTTATGAAACTAATACAAGTCAATTTTGCTTATAATAAATAAGAAATTATTTAAACCATGGAACCAAACCAAACTGACTGGTTTGGTTCAGTCTAAAAATGTAGGTTCTCGAAAGGCATGGTTCCTTCATGGTTTTAGCTAAAACCGACCCAACAAAACCGCTTACACTTCTAGTTAAGATACGAGAGCCGAGGCCATGTTTTATTAAAGTTAACAAAGTCTATAACTCTACTGGAGCAATTGATATAAACGTACCAAGAAACTTAGCTTTTGAAACCTTTCATCTATCGAAGTAATGAAACGAATAATAGCGGACTTCGAAATTCCATCCCTGTTTTCTACTGAAAGGTCACATTCGACACCGGTTCCAGCATCAACAACCTTGAGGATTGGCACCTTAGCACTCATGATGGGTTGGACACCACGAACATGACCTCCATCTATAGCACAAAAGGTCATAAACAAGTAGCACATATAATACGTAAGCCATGTAATATATATAAGTTCTTAGAAATGCATTTACTGCCACCTTGCTTGGTGAACTATATCTTATTTCATCATACATCAAGATTGAATGTTGACATGCACCAAAATCGGTTACGACTGTATAAGTTTATACAGGGTGTGTATGCATTTGGTACTCAAGCCAGGGACGGGACAAAACAAGAAACTTGTCCATGTTTGGCAAGACATTTAAACTGGGAAGACACATGATTGAGTAGGACATAAATGCATTGTTTAAATGAGACAAGATTGTAAATTACCAAACTAGCCATGTCAAACTAACACCCTAAAACCTCGCACAATTCTTTCATCCGCCTACCTCACTTTAATCGCATCTCGTCTAGTCCTGTCTGCATACCAAATGCACCCATGAGGACCGGGTTGTGATGTGGCTCATAATAAATCATTTATTTAAACACAAAACTCCGTCTAGTTGTTTATTGATGTTGTTGGGTATATGCTTTGATTGGTTAAACAAAAAAAAACACACACCCCTCTTATGAGACATGAAGAGGTTACCAAGTGATGGTGGTGCCATTGGGCCAACAATGTTTGCTTTTAATTGGAAAAAGGCATGTTTGAAGAGCCTTTGGCTGGTTTGTTACACAAATAGTGTTTACGGATAGCCTCACCACAAGGCACATATGGGTCGGACCTACAATTGGCTCACTCCACAAGCCCTATTCAATCATTCATCATGCAGGATATATTTTTCTCCAGAAATTACCATGTTGACGTTCTAACTTACAATTACATGTTTCTATAACAAGCAGCATCATAGACTTTAAGTAAACTAGAAAAAAATGATGATAATGGAGATATTGTATGATTTATATCTGTGTTTTTACGCACATAACTATCATTTGCTATGAATTGCAAAGCCTTGAATATAGTAATCCAATGGTGGATTTCAAAACTTTATTTAGTTATATATTCACTTCAAATTTCCAAACATAAAGTAGTTTTTAAAATACATACAATGAAAAATGAGAGATTATTCAGTAGGCAAATGAAGGCTCTATTCATCCAAAGTGCTGGTAAGAATATGCAAATTCTTGTAACTGAACCCTAAAATAAGTGACAGAGTTAAGAGCATAAAGCAATAGACGCATGCTTATTGAGATGATAAGATTTCATAATTGTAACGAGTATTAAGATATCTGGATCCCAAAAAATGAAAATTTAATAAACAAAATGCAAAGACTGGTATAAATAAAAGTTTACTTTGAAGTGCATAGAACTTTCTTGCAAACTTCCGAAGTGTCTTAATCTTCTGATCTCGAGGGAACACAAGTGAACTACTTCTGAAGTTGATGGAGAGATCTAGATCACTACCGGTGGTAAAAAGGTCCATCGAGAAAGAACCAAATGCCTCGACAACAGGGAAACCAGTAGAATTGCCTGCATTAGAGACAAATAGATTTACCACTTCTAGAGTATGGAAATAGTTGAATCACATGAAAATCGACTCCTCATGTTTAACCAAACAAGTCAAGTTCAATTAAGAAACAATTACTTGCTATAGTGAATATAGAAGCTTTTGTTTGCATACAAGTAATTGAAATTGAAAGTAATAGTAGAGTAGGCGGGAGAGGATACCATATATTTCCTTTGCTATTTCATTAAAAACTCGAATCAGATCTTTCCGATGTTCATATTCACTTGGCTTGGGCCTACGAATTACATAAGCATCATTAAGTAGTTTCCCTAGTACAAGTAATTGCTCCCGTTTCACGATAATCCTCTGCAATTCCTTTAATTCAAACTTCTCTGCTTTCTTTAAGAGGACTGAAATCAAAGGCATATCAGCAAAAGAATTATTAACTAAAAAATATAAGCCGGCTCATTAAGGGAAAAATAATGGCTACACATTATAATATCTGGGGAACAAATTTTACCTTGCATCTTACAAAATTTCAAACATAGAAATTTGATTAAAATATCATTACTAAATCTAATATTTCAACAAGCCCATGAACAATTCATTTGGTTTGATCTACAACTGGTTAATCTTTTCAGCTATTCTCTCTTGTACCTACTGAAAAACAGTCCAGTAGGTAAACCTTACGATGCATAGTGAAACTTATAGAATCAAAATTGGATTTTAGATGAACAAAGATGCACATGGAAGCAACTATGGATTAGTTCCCCACATATTATTGTATGCATGTAGCTTCTTTAAACCTATTTAAAGTTTACATGGAATATATTTTGGACTATATAGTTCCCCAAAAGAAAGCTTCAAGTACTTCAGATCTATCATTAAAAAAGGATAGGTTGAGAAGGACGTTGCAGATCGCATAAAGGCGTTGGCTAGAGAGGAGGACAGCAACAAGAGTTTTGTGCGACACATAAGTTCCATTAAAGCTTAATGGTTAAAGCTAAAGGGAAAATTATATAAAAGCGAAAATTATATAGAATGACCATCAAACCAACTATATCGTATGAGCTGGAGTGTTAGGCAATGAAGAAAGCACAAGAGTTAACAATAGGAGTCTCATAAAAGAGGACGTTGACACTTGTGACAGACCTCAGAACCAACGAATACCAAGGATTTTGAGACTGGAGAAACCTGAGAACCAACGAATACCTTCTTCAGGTATCTCAATTGAAATCCCATAAGGCTTTTTTGGCAAAAAAACCTTATTAGGCTAGGGTCCCTTACTATATCTAATCGTGGGTACAAAAGTGATTCATGGTAATCAAAGGGTCCATTCCTTTTTTGCCTTCATACGTAAAAATAGCGAAATTGCTATCTATTATATTGCTCCTTTTTAGATCAAAAACTCCGAACAAAGAAGCTATAAGTAATGAAACTATGAATCTTATGGAGAGTTCGATCTTGGCTTAGAATGAACTTTGTTGGCATACTTCCAAAAGCGAGAGAAACCCCATCCCTCCCTTTCCTTTTTTTCACCCCCATGTCGCCACGATTTTCCCGATCTAAATCAAGCAAGTTCTACATGAAGAAGATTTGGCTCAATGGGTTTTATCAGATACGAGTAGGGCAAAACTATGTTGGATAGGATACCAAGTGAGGTGTTTCTAGCTAAGCTATGGTTGAGTCTAAATCGGACAAACAAAGAGGGGGAAGATTGAGGTAGTTTGGGTGTGTCCGTAAGAGACTGCACTCATCACCCATTAGGAGGGTGGAGAGAATCACAATCAAAGGGTGAGGAGGCAAGGTAGGCTGAGGAGAACCTGGAATGAGCGGTTGAGGTTGAATATGGAGGTGTAAGTATTTCTTAGAGGGCATGATCTTAGATAAGAGTTCTTAGAGGCAGTGGATTAGGATAGTGAATTACTTGTAGTAATGCAATGTAGAGGGTGAGTTTCGGTGAGGGTTGGTACCTTTTGATAGAAAGAATAGTTTCTTTGGTAGCTAGATAGATAGGCTCTTGGCTTTCTATTTTCATTTTGTCTTAAAAAGTTCCAAATGTGTGGCTTATAGTTGTGCTTACTATATCTTCTACCAAACCTTTCTTGCAAGCCATGAGAAAACAACCTCAATTCACTTACCCCTTCAGACCCTACCTCCAAACGGAAAATACTAGGTTTGTTTGGTTTGGTTTTATATATCGATAAATATTCACTAGGCAACGCCATTATATGTGTTAAACATTACATGACTTCAGAGATTGAAAAAGATGGTTCTTATACAAACTCCTCATACTTCCTTTTTTTCTCGAACACGTCGTGAAGAGAAGATTTGAGAACGTGAGACTATATTTGACCAACCAAAAGAAGTAGAAATAAGTTAAAAACAAAATGTTGAAAGATGCATGAAACCTCACATACCCTGCCAATCCTCTTCCTCATCATAAGGTCCTGTAAAACCAAATAAAATAAAAGTATAACAAACAGTCAAGTGTTTTGGACGCCTGACATATAGAATAGATCAAAACCATGTGACCCAGAAAAACCTTTATCATATACCATAAAGAATGTTGTTAAAAGAAGCATGATTTTTTACATATCCTTACATTTGCTTATGTTATTTTCATAGATTTCTAAAAGGTTATATGAATAAAAAAACCAAGCATTCTAAATATACATGTAACAAAATCAGTGTAACATAGTTGAAATATGACATTAAAGAAGAAAAAGGTAAAACTATTGAAGCATAAATATATGAAGTGTTAAATTTGAATTTAGCATAAAGAAAGAAAAAAAAAAGACCACAAACATGATGATAGCTTTCCCAATACCCGGGAAAAAGAAAAAAATCATAAAAGTATATTTAGGAAAAGGAGAAGACTTATAGTACATAAAGCGACAGAGAAAAAAAATAATAGGTAGATAGGAGAGGGAGCACCAAGCCCAAAAAGAAGTATAAAATTACGGGACACTAAGAAGAGAAAACACAAATACAATTCGTTCTCTCTTTTTACATTATTCCACCTCATTCTCCCATTCAAAGACGTCCACTTTTCCCATCATTAGCTTTCCTTCACAATATGTGACCGGTTATCTGCCATGTTCCTTGGTGCCCCTCCTTGATATCAGTATGGTGTGAACAGGAAACAAACAACTTGGCTAAAAGCCATCTAATGGCTGCTGGGGTAATAGTTTATTTGGTATTTACTTTTTTAACTAATGTTTAATTAAATGGTTTGCTTGCATATACCTGCCATAACTAGCATTAAGAAGGGTTAAAATTATATTTACTTCTTAAGGGTACATCATCTCAATTCCCAATTGTGATTAGGGTTCTGCTCCCTATATGAAGTAATGAAATGTCAAGTTATCATCATCTATTCTATTATGAACCAAGTGATTGAAAAAACCGGTAATTCTTTTTGACTATGTGATTCAATCTTAAGTCCATCTTTCAGGAGATCCTACTCATCCTACGGTCCCTAGTTCAGTACCTTCAAACTTTAGTAATTTTCCTGTCTAAAATTTCTTGTTTTCTTTATCATTGTTGTTCCACATCACAATGCATTTAAAAATCTTAAAACAGCCTTGACTACCTTGTCATTTATTAAAAATGAGGCAAGTATAGACTATGAATATACTACCCGAGTCAATTAAAGACTGTGTAAGGGGAATTAGTACAACTTTCAAGACAAAAAGAACTCTAATTCAATTGAAGACTGACATTTTCAGGCATAAATAACCCTAAAGTAACTCACAATTTCTCAAAATCAATAGCAAAATGATCCATCTGCAGCTCCACAGATTTCAACGAAAAACCAAGAATCAGATTATCATATTTTCTGCATTGTCTCACCTAAAACCTATGTAGGCTTGGCGCCATAAATTTCTAATAAAATAGCCTTGGGTGCGACTCTCATTGGAGAGTCCACAAGCATGAGGTGAACTCTATGGCTACATAATCATGCCCGTCCGGCAAACTTTTTCTTATCCAAAGAAAAAAAAACAAGCAAAGTAAATAAGGGAACAAATACATGTGCACCATCACTATCTGACTAGATCAGCAATATAACGGAAGCTGAAGAACCAATTAACATTGGGAAAATGTTCAGCAACTAAACTTATGCATCAATGAGTCAATACTTCAACGGGGTAGACAACAGTAGGTTCACCATGAAGTTGCTATATCAGCAGGCTCCTAATATCACAAGTGCAAAAAAAAGCTAAAAAAGCATCTTCACTTGTTTTTCAGGTAATATATGAGCATTGCAGGTTTTTCGCTTCTTTGTCAAGCTTTCGAGTTAATTCCAGTAGACTTATTAGAGGGTCCCATTGGCGTGCACCCAGTGCAGATGAAGCGAAGGGCATCGATTATCTATTTAGACGAACGAAGAATAAGCACAGCTTGGATTAGGCTATAGAGTTAAATATGTGAATGTAAAGTGGCCATCCTTCCAATCCTTGTTTTTCGGATAGAATTAAAAGATTAAAGAGTAAACAAGCAGTTCATATTTTGGACACCCTCCTGTCATCCGAGGCGTGATGGAAAAGATTGTAATGAAGATGGGATCATGCAAAACTCTCAAAAGTTTTTCAAAAGATGACTCCCAGCCATTGTCAGAGATGTTTAAGCCAAAAAAATTCGCAAATTATCTGCCAAGCAGGTGGTCACCCTGAGATTAGTCGGCTCGCATAGCGGGTTTGATATCCAGGTTAATCAAAAAAAATTCGCAAATTATGCCTTGATAATGTCATTTTCCTGATAACTTCTCATCTCCAGTCTGCCAATTAATGTTGGCAAATATAGAAGCAGATGAGATCAAATGAAAGGTTAGTCACTCACCCTTTTCTCGCAACGCCATGATGGTGCCTTCAAGAATTAACAATTGAATAGATTAAGAATAAAATCAATAGGTAATTCCAATAATTTAATGTCGATGACAAGCTCCTCCAATTCTTGATGATGTGATAGAGAAAACCTGCAATGAAAAGTGAATTAGTGTATTATGCCCAATCAAACTATGACATAATAAATTAAAGGACAAACTACAAGTGTAAGAATAAAATAAAATAAAAGCACCATCACCATGATAGAGAGATCTAGATTTTCTAAGGTGGGTTGGGTAGGGGTAAACTAAATTTTTAGCATTCGATAGTGAACTGACACGAGACTAAATCTTGAACTCCTTCACTTGAAGTTTAGAACACAAACTTCCTCATAAATAAATAATTTATAAGAGTGCATACCCTATCCAGTTCACAGTCCAAACTCTGAAACCGAATTCCAGTAGCAAGCAAGGCATGTGGAGAGACTAGATGACTTCAAGTAGTAAGAAAATCCATCGTGAAAGACAAAACTTCTCAACATCAAAACAACTGGTAGAAAAAGTAGCGGAATTTAGCATTACTCATACTTTTGTAGCTTAAGGTAATAGTCCCCACATTCTAGACAATATAGTAGTCCACTCTCACTATATGAGAATCTACCGTTTTGTAGAAGTTATAAAATGAGGGTGTCCACTTTTACAATTTAGGGGGCAACATATGTATGAGATGGGAAAATCACTCTTAAATAGGCTAAAATAATTCAACTGCCTTATAACAGTTTCCATAATGATTTGGGCTGAAAGTATCCATTTATTTGTTGAGTGGCAAATGTAAAGGGTATCGAATAATCTAGGACCAGTTTGTACAGTTTATCTTTTTTAAAGCAAATTCAATTATACGCTAATCATTTTCTAAACAATATATGTGAACCATGGCATTCCTTCAAGAGGCTTTGCATCTCACTATTTGGTACACATTTCTCAGAATCTGGTCATGCTCCATTTTAAGTATTGTCTGCTATCATGATGAAATATTTTGAAATGCTGCCCATTTAGCACATGAGGCTTAAGTCCGCAAGTAAAAAAGTGGCAATGTCAGCATACCAAGAGGCACTTCCTTCATGATGCTGCCATTTGACATGTGTCTATATTCTTATAATTCTTATAACTATATTTATCTATGCAGATGAAAGCCTGGGCAAAAGCACATGATATTAACAGCTCAAATGATCAAACTCTCAATTCTTTATCCATAACATTATTGGTTGCATTTCATCCATATGGTATCGAAAAGGAAAGAGGATTACTATTTTTTACCTTCTGTACTCTTGATGAAGTTTTTAAGTTCATTGTATTTTTTATTTTATTTTTTGCCCAAACCAATGTTTATTACGACAAAAGAAGCATATTAGATGTTACTTTTGTGCATGTCTTAAAATACAAAAACTTGTACCTCACCACCCAGTGCATGTTTTAAGGCACCATTTGGGCATTTGGGTACTGTAGACCAAATTTGATGGTGTAATTTTTTATTTATTTATATCTTTAGTGTTAACATCATCTCATTTGACATGCAAAAGTTGAATATGAACTCTGACAAATGGCTGAGCAAAACTATATTAGAATTATCCTTTTTTTCTATTATTTTTTGTGAAAAGGAGACTTTGTACGAAAACTTTCCTTGATTCCTTCTCAAACCTTGTGAAACCAAGAAGCTTTGGCGCACTACTATCATCTTTTTGTTTGTTGCATGATTTTCTTTCTTTAGGGTGCATTTGGCATGCAGACTACATGGGACAGGATGGGACAAAAAAAATAGTCCCATGTTTGGCATGCCATAAACAAAAAATACATAGGACAAGATGGGATGAACTGTTCCGTCTTATTGTTGTTCTTTGGTTGCAGACTCAAGATCCCCCTATATTACCTTCTTTTTCAGCCAGACTAAAAGGTAACACCAAGACTCTTGTTAAGAATGTAAAACTAATTAAATAATATGAAACTTGTGCTATACAAAACTACAAATATGTGGCGTGTTCCATTGCTTAAGAGTTGCAAACATTTGACTCTATGCTTTGACTACAGTTGAATGATGTACTGATCTTAAATGATAATACAGTAGAGGATTTAGTGGATAGTTGACAATATCATCGACAATTTGTATTGGCAACCATTGACAGAAACGTAACCAGTGTTTGAAAATTTGACAAAATGTGATATGTTGCAATTAGTACAGTCATCCCTGGAAGCTTAAAAGATTTAACCCAAAGGTCTCTGCCAATAAAGGGTATCATAGAATCCAGGGACAATTTGTATAGTTTATCTTTTTTTTAAGCAAGTACAATTATACGTTAATCATTTTCTTAAACAACTTGAAAGAATCACTTAGATTTCAAATTAAAGCAGTCCCTTAGATCTAAACAAACAATACATGATAAAAGATGATGACTATAGGTTAAGTAAAAGTTATTTCATTTTATGGTCTTTCAGAAGAAAAGACGATTACAATCATACAAGAATCCAAAAAAATAATTGTTTACTTTAAGGAACAAAAGGAATTCTACATTTGTCTATGTTATTTCCATTTCTCATTTCTAATTCCTTTTAGTTTCCAAATGACATAAATTATATATATATAGATATTTATCACATTGAAAATCCTTGACCAGAATTAGAATATACTTAGGAGTCAAGTATAGAAATTGTCCATAGGCTAGTTTTTAATTTGCCTTTTTCGTCCCTTCTGTCATTTGTACTGGTAAGAGAGTGCAATTGAATAATTTATTCTCCAAACAGGTCAAACATCCTATTATTGTTAGTTTATTCCATTAAATAGATCATGTGCAATCTACATGCCTACTTAAAAGCGCAATGTAATCTTTCTATATCTACCTCTTTATTATTCTGTCCAATATTGATTTTCACTATCTTTGTGTCGATATTTCTACCCACACTCCTTCCTACAACCCTACTTCAAAAATTTAATCTCAAAAGTGTTTTCATTTTTTTATCTCAAAGGTACACAAATATGATGCTCCTAAAGTTGATGGAAAAATCTAGATCACATCCGGTAGTATGAAGATCCATCAAGAAAGAACAAAGTTCCTCAACAATAGTGCAACATGCATGCAGGATTACCTAGATTAGAAACAGATAGATTTATCATATATGCAAAAACCTCACATACCCTACCAATTATGACATACGTAAACCTATTGTTTCTGATCTAAGTAATGCTGCTAGTTGTCCCGTTATTGAGCAGCTTTTTTCTTTCTTCATGTATCTTTTTACTTCAGAAAGTAATGTACATCCTAATAACTGGAAAATTAAAGCACCTTGAAAACTTTAAAGAAAGTTCTGTGCACTTCAAAGTAAACGTTAACATATACTACTATTTGCGCAGTAGTTATTAAGTTTCAGTTTAAAGATCCACATATCCTGCAGCTCATTACAATTATGGAACCGTATAATCTCAATAAGCATGTAACTACTAGTGTTTTACTGAGTTCATCACTTGCTTAAGGGTAAGGTTGCATAAAGCCTTGCCTTTATATAAGCATCTTCAATTAATAGTGCCTTTCTTTGCTCACCAAGTAATATTCCTATTTTTCAATATATATTTAAAAAATATTGTGGGGTTTAGATGTTTGACAAAAAATACATAACTATATTACCTTTTCAAATTTACCCTTCAATTACTATATTCACACCAGATATATTTATGTGCATATAAGTATGTGTCATGCCAATATCATCCTCTTTCCCTAATTTACCATGACGGAGTTCTGGTTGTTATACATAATTCCTTTTAAACCTGTTGTCAATTACTACCATAAGACCATGCACCTGAGCATTTTTCTTCTGCAATACCAACAAAACTAGGCTAACCGGCTCTAGGTGTCACCTACCACCACTGTTCCATTTAGAGATTATAACCCCCTTTCTAGAAATCTTGTTAACCCAATGAAGCTGTGACCTAATCTCATAGATACCCATACAAGAGTTGAGAATGTTGGAAGGGCTTGGCAAGACAGATGTCGGTCTAAAGACAATTATGTTTCATTGAGAAACATGAGGTTGCATGATGTTGGAATAAAGTCAAAACAAGCAGTTGTCTTCTTGTTGTTAAGAAAACGGTTGCCCATGTTGATTGTTTGGGTAAAGTAGGCACGAGTGACATTTTTGTGCTCTACCAAATTATATTAAGTTCAAATTTCTTCCCATTCAATAATGGTTCATTCTTTCCCTATATGTTCAATTTATATCATAGACAAATACAGGAATGCAAAGCAGGGTATGCATTGTTTATTGACTACAACAAATGTAACATACAACTCAAAATAATAACAGGCTGTTTACAAAACAATGAAGACAACACATATGCCCAAAATAACTTTACAGTTAGTCTCTTCGAGTCTTCATATGTTGGAGGCAATTTAGAATATCATTGTTATTATATGTAGACTCATTCTCACTTCAAGTCAAACGATCGATTGATGATGAAGAATCACAATTTGGGTTTTTTGAACATTAACATACCAATCCAATGTCTCTCCTTTTTTCTTGCTTTTGATTAATCGCTTCATTCCCATTCATCATAGATTTATTTTGTAAAAGTAAAAACAAATATAGAAATATGTTGATTCACGTAATTAACACATGAAAACATACCAAGTTACTATCCGTATGACAAGTGACGACAAAGAGCAATTATTGAGCATGTAGTTATAGAGAATATGCATGTCGTTACTAGCCATATAACAAAGAACAACAAAGAGTGAACTGTATAATAAACCATGGGTTATATTAAAATAAAGTATGAAAGAGATGAAGAACTGCAAGTCCAGCCAATTACAGGAGCCCATTGAACAATGTGTACACAATTGGTCATACATGTTATGTTAGCATTGTGCATTGTACTCTAATTAATGATAGGTTCAATCATGAGTGGATCTAGGTTTGGGTGGTAGGGGGCAGTTGCCCCAGTAAAAGAAGACAACAAAATTGAGACTTTCTGTCTTGTAATCTTAAATTTTATTTTCCCCCCAACATGTTGACAATTTTGGAGATCCGCTGTCCAGTTAATCAAAAAATTTGTTTATTAAGTTAGGGTCTACCGGAAAATCGATTTATTTTTTGTTAGTTGGTAATTGTTACGGTTTATACACTCCCAAACTTCAACTAGGAAGTCTTCCTCATCCTCATGAATACTGACAAGAAGGATAAAAAGGGTGTTGGGTTCCTATACATCAAACAGACCCGACCTAATATCTTTGGCCCGTGACTTGTTAAAACCAGTGTTCCAAGATGCGTTAACGTGAGCTAGATAGACGGTTAAGTGACCAAAATTTAAATTGCGCCCCCCATCAACAAAAATTCTAGATCGGCCCCCGGGTTCAATTTTAAGTTGTGATGATTGACAGTCATTTGGTTTGGCGGTTTAGCAAATATGCTTACAAAACCGCACCCCAACTGTTTGTTAATATGCCAATCATAAGTTAGAATGTTATATTTGACTCTAAATCGCTCCCAACCATTGTATATGCGTAAATCAACCAATCTTTAGCGTCTTCCTATAGCAAACAATCAAAATCAGGGTCTCAATCTATCATACAAAGGCCTAAGAAAAGCAGGTTTAGTGAGAGTTGTGTAACCTAATTGTACACCATAAACACAAGAAGAAACCAAGAAACCAAGAAACCAAGAATGACGTTGGTCGGATTGATCAATTAAACTGGAATGCAAAGTAGAGAATCAATTAAAAAATGAAAAACCCTAATTTAGTTACCGCTTACGAGGCTCGACCAGAGAAATTCACTCCCGTATTGCTGTTCAGAAGCATCTAATGACGAGTGGTCGAGCCATCGATGGTTGAGGCACCAAAAGAGAGAGAGAGAGAGAGAGAGAGAGAGAGAGAGTCTTCTTCACAGGATGGTTTGGGTTTTAAGGATTTGAGATTGTGGCGACGTCAAAAACCTTAAAAAACAATTTCATTTCCAGGTCAAAGCTTTGTCGGTTTGTACCAATCCAATCACCCTAAAAAAAAAAAAAAACTAAAAGTCAATTAATACTGAATCTATACTGCCCTGTAAATCACATTTATGAAAAATTGTTAAAAACAACTTTGAATGTACAAAGTATTGTTTTTTTTATACATAAAACTTTAAAAGTCTTAATTATAACTAGAATGTTATTCGTATAAGGTAACGAGATACATTTTTTTTTAATATTTTGTTTTAATTTTTGTCTGTTGATATAAATATGATTTACGTGGCTTTGAGAAAGATAATGTTTTTACTTTTAATAAAAATAATTTTGAAAAAATATATCGATATTAATATCAAATTAACTATTTAAAAGTTCTTGTTTTTTATATAATTGTTTAATTCATTTTTTATTACTAGAAGGGTACTCGCACAATGCAGCGAGATAAATCTTGATTTTAGTATTTCATATTATTTTTTATCTCAGTCGATGTTATAATATGGTCTTATGTGATTTTGAAAAAACAATGATGTTTTTATTTTTTTAATTCAATTTTTTATTATAATTTAATTTAGGTTCAATAACGAAGTAATTTATATTTGGTTTAATAATATAATTTTCTTATAAATATATTAATTAATTATTTTGTTAGAACTCGATCTTTGATATTTCTAACTTTGATTTTCTTCTCATACGATTCATATCAAGCTTTCCCTTTTGTTTTTTTGTCCGATTAACTTGATTTCTCCTACTTCTATATGATTACCTTGCTTTTTCTCTTCTGTTTGATTAACTTTCACTGCAAGATCCCTTCTGTGCGATTAATTTTCAGTGTCAGATCCCTTCTGTAGAGGTAGAGATTCTCCATTTGGCAAGGCTGTGGAACTGCTTGATTTTTCCCTTCTGTAGAGGTACTCCATTTTTCTGTTCGATTAACTTTTAGGTTGTGGAACTGCTTGAATTCTTGTTTAACAGCTACTGATGCTTTGTGTCGTTTGAATCATATGAAATAAGAGGGAAATCGATTAGGATAATGTGGTGTCAAAAGGACCCAATTCAGAGAAAAACTGGAACTGGAAATCTGTTTGTGAAGAATCTTGAATCATCAGTTCATGAAACTCGATTGTGAAGTATCTGGGGTGTTTGGGAGGGTTCTTTCTTGTAAAACTGCTAAAGAGTGTTATGGAAATAGCAAAGGGTTTAGATTTGTTCAGTTTGATTCAGAGGAATCAGCTAAAGAAGCTCTTTGTGGGTTTAAATGGCTCTAAACTTGATGGGGAAATTTTGTAAGTTTGAATTTGATCTTGATATGTATCTATAATTCAAGTAACTTTGCAGGCTTTCGATCCTTTTTTAAGGGTGTCCCTCCTGAACTGATCCGATAAACTGTGACTGCAAAAGATCAGTTTCAAGATCTCTTGATCATGATTAGCAATACCCATAAAAATGATTAGAAGTTTTATTCACTAAATATGTAGATCAATTTCAAGATTTCTTGATCATGATTAGCAACATCCGTAGAAATGATGAGCAGTTTTGTTTATTATACTCTGCAGATCAATTTCAAAATTTCTTGATCATGATTTACCACACCCATAGAAATCATTAGCAGTTTTTTTTACTATATATTTTGTAGATCAAATTTATAGGATTTCTTAATCATGATTAGCAACACCCATAGAAATCATTTGCAGTTTTGTTTACTATACTCTTTAGATTAGTCTCAAGATTTCTTGATCATGTTAGCAGCTGTCATAGAAATCATAAACAGTTTTATTTAGAGCATCTTCAACAGCTATTTTAAAAATATAGATTTTGAGTATATTTTTTTATCATCATGGAGAGTTTTGTTACTCTAACAGACTATTTTTTTGAATAATTTTGACGTAAAAGTGATCATCGAGTTTCTGTTTGATAGACATACGTCATTTGCTAACCCAAATCTTTGAGAGGACCTCCTTATTGTATTTTTCATCATAAAGCTTTCATTTTGACATCTATCATTAACCATAATTACGTGGTGGACTAATTTGTATTGCTAAATTGAATTTTGTTTTCATGTTTCTCATGGTACTTTCTATTTGTCTTTCTAGATGCTTTCGATGATGAGAAGTTATTGTCAGCTCTGGAGATGTTGAAGCAAGGTAAATATATAGCTGGCAAGACAAGCTTCTGTTAAAAACTGGAGAGACGTGTGATGATTTCCTCGTGAAATCATTTACTAGTTGTGTACCCGCGGGATGTAAAGGTTCTATCAAGATATATTTAACTTTTAAATATTGTTTTTTGGCAAAATATCTTTGAAATACTTGGTGGTTCACGTGTTGTATCATAAACCCAAAAATGAAAAATTAATTCAATTTCTCATTCAAAAAGTCTAAAATTTATGTTTAAACAAAATAGAAATTACAATCATGCTTTAATCATACACAATTATCATTCAAAACTTCTTGATACACCACATTGATGTGTAGACTCCTTCATGATTGAACTTTTTGATAGGTTTAATACCCACGCAATGCGGCGAGTGACCAAACATTTCAATTGTGAGACCAAAAAATTAAACATTTAATCCTACTTTATGCTTCATTCTATTGTCCACCCTTGGTCCCCTTACGCTTCTAGTTAAATGGTTTTATGAAGTGTCAAAAAGGTAAATCGGCTTATGTATATTTTGACGTTAATATGATGAGAAGTTAATTATTAAAGTTCAGCATCGTTGCAGTTATATACCGAAAAAGTTAATCAACAGTTATATGGTTTACGTATATGTCAGTAGGGATAAAATGTTGTTGCAAAGTATGTCATTGTTCTCAATATTATATGCACCAACTCAAAATCCCTAAGAAACAATAATAACTTTACAACAACAGATGACATTACGGTGATCATTTGCCTTATTAATGGATCATGCTTTCACTCGCCAAATTTCAATGAGAGAGATCAACATGAGAACCCCTAGAAAAACACAAACATGATTACATAAAATCGTCATTTGCATTCTTGTTTTAGGAGAAATCAAAGGAATAAACAAAAAAGTAATTGTAAAACAAGGTTAGCTTCAAATTAAGAACTATGCAGAAATAGAAAATGGAGAAATCAGTCATGTCTATTGCAATTTAAACACACATCCAATTAAATGTAATGAATATAATTAATTCTTCACTCATAAAGAGTGAAATCAGATTGTCAATGAGAAACAGATGCAGTTCTAGAACTGGAATACAAGTTTTGAGCCACATAGTTCATGTTTTTCCAAAAAACAGGCCCCCTTGGAAAAACGTCATTGAAATAAAAAAAATTACAAAATTACGAAGAGTATACCCTCCGGAATATAAAATGCATCCCAAAGAAATGCTTAGATAAAAAAACTCAATAAAAGTGTAACTCTAAAATCCAAGAGGAGTCGGGTTTGATTTCAATATTAAAACTGGGACAAAGCGTATTCACTCAGATTCAACGATGAACAACAATCACCGGCTAAGCATTTATGAACATAAACATATCGCAAAAGAAAAGCGTGCAAGAACATAAACAGATTTTAAAGCAAGAACAAACACACCAGCAATTATACCCCAATAGCTTACCTCGTTCATGCAGTTTCTCGTAAGAGAATAGAGGGTTTTGCAGAGGTGAAACATTTGGGGAGAGAGAGAGAGAGAGACACAGAGAGACACATAAACTTGATGGTGGTGATGGGTTTGTGAACATAGATGCATGAAATCAAATCTGAGCGCGAAAATAGACATTATTATGACCATGAACCCAAGGTAGTGTAGATAGTATTAGCCACAACCTGCAATTCAACACTAAAAGATGTCAATTCGTAGGTTCTATATCAAAATACACCTATAAGCAAGGAAAAAGGTTTTGGCTACTAATCCATTGATTCCATGATAGCTTTAAAGAGACGCCATATTCAAATTATGAGAATAAACGGGTCATTTACCAAAAATTTACCGGATAAGTGACATTGGTAAGTGCTTAGCCGAGCGTTCAGTAAACGACCCCTAAGTTAACCTCACAAGTACCAACCAATAATACACATACATTTAAAATTTGAACTATCCACTCATAATGTCAACCATTGATAATCATGGCAGACTAAACCTCCATTGCTTAAGATTTTTTGTATCAAAACAAGCCATGAATCACTAAAACACTAATTTGACAGTTAATTATGTTAGACATCTAGACAAAAAAAAAAAAGAACTTTCATATGGGCAGGAATGCCAAACTATAAGCACCCAAGATTTTTCATTAAGCTTATTCTAAATAGGATAGAACCTAGTGGAATTTGAATGACAAGTTACAAACTCTGAAAAGCAGAATGCTAAACCACCAAACACAACATTACACACCTTTACCCCACGTATATGAACCAAAATGACCAACAACACAACTCAAGCAAGAAAAGAACTAAGACACCGTAAGATCCTTTTGTGGTTCATTGAAATAAACAATACATCAAGTTGATGCTATGTAAATATAACAGTTGAAAAATAAATCAAATCCACATCAAAATATAACTATAAAGCAAATAGGTTGAGCAGGTTTTTCGAAAAGCCTAAAAATGAAACAACAAACATAAAGATATCGATTTGGCTAGAGCCTAGCTGGTGGATAAAACAAGAAATTCTTATTTCATAGAAAGAAAAATGCAAAATATAATCGATCAATAGCTCATCCAAATGGTTCACAATTCCACACAGTAGCCTCACGAATGTGTGTAAATATATATGTAAAATATACACACATATATGCACAGAAGTGCATGTACTCCAATTTGTCGATGATTATTCTCGATATTGCTATGTATATCTTTTACATTCGAAAGATGAAGTCCTTGGAAAATTTAAGATCTACAAAAATGAAGTAGAACTTAAATGTGAGACAAAGATAAAA